AGCATGTCCCACACCTTTGTGGAGCCCATGAATAACATGGCTACGACGCAGCGCCTTTTGGTTCAACGAGAGAAAAGCGTGACCGCTTAGAGTTGTACTGTTTAACTGCCTTGGGGTCCACCATCGGCTCCTGCGGATGCAGTTCAATGCGCCGAACGATGCAAGGCAACTCCCTGGTTAGGAGCGGCTCGGGCAGAATGCACGAGATTCGAACTTTCATACCGAGGAATAACGGGCACATGCCCATAAGGTACCCCAAAATTCCCCAAATCTGAGCAGCTATAGCCGCATTCCCCAAAGATGCAAGGACTTTAGGAATGTTTGGGGAAAGTTGATCTCTGCCAGTGCCATGTTTTCCTCTTTTCAGGCTTTCGAAAGTTTGGGGAAATTTGAGCCTGGCAGCACTTTGACAACCTCGGATGCGAAAACATCACTAAAACTCCTTGTCCCCGTCATTGTGTTAATGCTATCATTAGTCTTATCATTACTATTATTCATATTTCTAGTATAAAATTATGATATTATATTGGCATTTTTGTGTTTCTATTAGTAAGTAGTAGTACTGATGGTGGTGGAATACATGTTGTCCCTATTACCTGTCGTTCTTGTTGCAATTGTAATTGCAGCAGTACCAGTAGCGGTATTGCTGTCTTTAGTTGTTCTTGTTGTATAGATGTGGCTGAGTTTTACAGCAAGTCGGGGAGGCTTTTGATTCTGCATTTAAAACAATCCTTTCGAAATCTATAGCCCCGCGCTCATAGACATAGATGAGGGAGGTCTCATGACGCTATTGCAGTTCGGAGTTTCAACTGAAGGGGTACTCATGGTTTTAAAAGCCTCAGCTCTTTTTCTGTCTTGTGAATAATTACGGAGAGACAGAAAAGTTTCTTTTTACTAGATGAAGATGAGGCGAGGCTAGGCGAGAAGACAGGAGCCATTTCATGTCTTGTTGAACCATGGCGCAGCTAGCAGCTCTCTTGGCGTTATTGTCGCTAGCGTGGCGCAAATGAGTCTGGTTATTCGTTCGCATCAACCAAATGGTCTTTCGCTTCTTGCTACACGAGCAGCAGCGAACGCTTGCCGATATATGTATACTTCGTTCTAACTCCCACGAAGCATAAAACAGTACACCGGCGTACTTCCATATTTCTTATCAGGAAAAATAAGTTGATCTTTCCTTGGTCGTTGCTTGCGTTCTTGCTGCCAGCACACGAAAATCTGACTTGTTCCGGTTGAATCAGGAGTTGTTTCGTTCCACATGATATAAGGAAGCGAGTAGCTGTTCCATTCGTGTTGCACAGCGTAAGAAGCTCGGACCATTTACTTATGATCGAACGTATTTGGAGTATGGTGGAGGGACACTATAAGGCTTTTCCGAACCATCAACATTTAAAACTGTGATGTTGGCAGATTGTAAACGCTCGTTGAGTTCTCGCCACTGGTAAGAAACTCTGGCACCTTCTTGTGCTTCTCTATGATGCAAAGGAGGCAAAGGATTTCTGATGAATGAAAACAGCACCAACTACACAGAAACAATCGAGGTTTCATTGTTAGTCTTTTTTGCCTCCCGCTTGGCTAGGACGAACCTACGATGCAGGGTCTGATACTGGGTACTTGTGAGCCCGAGTGCATCACGCACAAACGGCTATCGACTACAGCTGATGCCACTGTCACTCAGTGAGAGCGGCTTACAAAGAGCCTCCACGGCTTTCATGCTTTGTGGTAGAGACTCGCCAAAAACATGCATGGTGTCTGTCTCACGAACCTAAAAACTTTCTGCACATTGTTAGTTGAGCAAGGGTCAAGTGTTTCTTCCGATTAGCGCGGACGCAGAACCAGATTCTGGTTTGGGTTTTGCGTGGTTTACACATGCCACAAACAAGCACAATAAGTAGAGGTCCGTATGTGTGAAGTGCAGAAACCACTGTAAATATCGATGGTTTCTGTTTCTGGACCTCGGAGAAAGCCTTTGGAGACATAAGACTGTGGACGAACAGATGGCTAGAAGACTCGGGTGGATAATGGGGGGGGGGGGTGACCATTTATATCCCCCCCCACCGCAATGGTATGGTCTGGTAGGGGTGCGGGCGGACGGGGACAGGGTGGCGCGGGTTGGGTGGGGTGCTGGGGCGGCCAGGGGTCACAGAGAGGGCCGGGATCTTACGCAAGCCTTACTCAAGGCATAAACCCTGTAGCGGTTTCTATAAGGTATACAGACCTTCTATAAGGCTCCTATAACGGTAACTACCCACCTGAAAATGTCCTAGACCTTGCACCCAACCCTAAACCCCGCCTAAATGCAGGCTCTAATCTTGAAGCAGAACATAAACCGTCACCCTAACCACCCTACACCCGAAACACTCCCCAAGCTCTTGTCGGCTCGAAGCCTTATAACTCTTTAACCTCAAACCCTAACGCGCCTGACCCCATATATGTATATATACACATACACATACACACATACATAAGATATACATAAGAATGATAATACAAAGAAGAATTATAACAACAGGAAAGATAATGAATAAAGAAATGTATGCATATATATATATATATAAACACCCGTTTATAATAAATACATGTATGCATCCATTTATATGTACAATTGCACACATACATTTAGGCGTAGTGTTAGGGTTTACGAAGGATATCTAGGGTGAGTTTTGGTGCTGGGCAGAAACGATTTGGGTCTGAGGGAAGCCGGACCCATGTTTTCCACATGACCCCGTGGCGTGTCCCAGCAAGCTCAAGCGGGACTCCGAGATTGAAATCCATGACTACTCTCGCCGTCACGAACAGAAAACCTTCTGAGACCTGCCGAGGGGAATAGACCCTAAGACGCAGCACGGAAGAGTGTTGGAACTGAGACGCGGTGAGAGATGTGCGAAACCACCAGGGGAACATGCGGAGACCGCAAGTCAAAGCATAAGCACCGTACCTTGGTCTTCGTCAGTGAAGAAAGACTGCAGACCGGCAAGTTACACGCTCAAGCTGGCCAGACCTCCGAAAAGACTTTGCGCGTGCCTTGCGAACCGTTCGATCCTGGTGTTCGCTCGCCACAGCCTTGTCGGGTTCACTTTTGCTGCTGCTCCGACGCTGCGACATGAATGTGATTCCCTCGCTCCTCGTTTCCGCAGGTCTAATGGACGGGTGCTACAACTCTGACGCGCTGGTCGCGGTCGCAGTGCATCTGGCGCTAGCTTGTGATAAAGAAGAGTGCAGTAGTAGAAGAGACATTATCATTAAGTGCCATGAAGAAGCCCGAACATGAACACAGGTATCATGTGTCGCCCAACAGGCCACAGGCCTCGTGGTCGCCTTGGCCACGGCCCTGAATGCAGCTTGTCTGATAAGTTGACACAACCACAGCTGGGAATAAGAACGGGACAGCTGCGGAAGGACACTCTTCTGTTTCAGTCTTGCAACAAGGCGGACCCCGAAACGCCCATGCTCGCCCGACCTTCATCAGACTGAAACCACTCCCAAGCACGCAGCCAAAACATCGCATCGAAAGTGCATATCGATCCCCTCCTGCATACTCTAGACTCAGCCTCTGGACTTCCTCCTCCCTGCCTCACGTCGCACCACACTGGACCCGGCGAGGGCCAAAGCAGCCCAGGCAAGGAGCATACGCATCTGGATCAAGGGGTTCGGCGGGTTGAGGCCAAGCAGCAACAGCTTGGAACGTTCGGTTTTCAGCAATTTTGGAAGGCTTCGGCTCTCGTGCTGGGACCGCCAGAGGCTTTCATCTAAATTTGCTGCACGCCGCAGCCAAGCGTTTATAATCATCCTGGACCCCTGGGCCCCGACCCACGCCAGAAAGTCGAACGAGGCCTCTGGCGACTTTGTGGATATGGAAACACCCGCGGCAGGTGCCTCAGATGAAGGTTTCACCTCGGCGGAGGACGCGAGACATCTCGCATTCAGTGTCCGCGGGTGAAGACTCCGCTTCCCTGCCTAGAAGAAAGAGTTCCAATAGAAGCCCTCCCGACCAACCCTCCCATTGACAACCAAGCGACAAACTCTCGCAAACATAAGCCGTAACAGGCGGGCCCCTGTTGCTGAGCCAGACCACGGCGGATTGTTGCTAAGATGACTGCTCTGCTTTACCGGCCCCGGGTGTATGGGAGAAACCTCCAGGTGGCACCTTACTCGAGCATTAGCAAGACATGTCGTGTGCGTCACTTGCGCCGCTCTACACCAGGTTTGCGCCGTCATCGCGAAGTTGTTTGATCCAGCTTCGGCTCTCGTATCCGAATCCCTACCAAAACACACGACCCACACACGAGGGCACGGAAGCATCCCGAAAATTTAGCGCGGCTTCAAGAAAGGCCTACCTAACTCGCCCCCTCGTTCATTTGGATCCAAACAAAACCCGAACTATGAAGATCTGTAGATTCGCGCCTTCTTTCCACCTGCGCCTAACTCCGTTCCTGGCGTCATTGAAGCGATTGGCGGAAGGGTCGACCCAGCACTGCGATTTCCTTGGCCTACAGGGCACGTGGCAAACTGCCCTTCTTCAATGGTAAAGCGCACCGGATACAGGCAAGAGTCCGCAACTATCCCCAACGAGCTCGAAGCCACGAGGCTGCATGTTTCAGAGTCCTGTACTCCAGTCTGGACATCGAAAGATGCCGGGAAGACCCTTCCGGCCAGCTGGCCCTTTCGCTTCTGTATGAGTGAATCGTACTGCGACATGCTGCTACCTAAGCATTAGTAAGCACCTACCCTTTCAGCACAGGCATAGACAAGGCCCCACACAATAGTTCCTTACAGAAGACACCTTGAATCACTGTGCCCTTTTACTTGGACCCCGTCGGATGGCTTCGGTGTACTCGTTTTGGTGCCGGGATAGGCACAATAGCGAAGCGGAAAAGGCAGCTGGGCCCGTGCGGCGTGATATTGATTGCGGGAATGCGCTCAGCGCATCGCGACCGTGGAAAATCGCCCCCCTTGGGGCGAGTTTATCCCACATGGCCTCATTTCGGTGCCCATGCGGCTCTGGGTCGGTAAATAATTAGCTACTACAATCTAATCTAGCGAGGATTCGACATCAAAGAGCACATCAGCAGATATGTAGAATGCAGATGTAGAATGTGCATTTGGCATATGTGCATACTAGTAGACAAAGAGTTGATGGCCCATCGATACTCGTAGTAGCTGCTCAAGGCAATCCGTGATAAAAGTCTGTCGGTAAAAGACCATACTCCAACATGCGTCGGCCCGGCAATCCACACTCTTCATGCATCCATGCCAGGGTAAGTTAAGGAAGATGAGGGCTGATCCGCACCTAATCGTCAGTCCTTACTTCTACGTACTGAAAACAGAGCTGAACGCAGACCGCTCGCAGGAAGTAGGTGCTGACATGGAAGAGTGCAGAAGTCTGTGCACCCGTTCTGGGCAGTTAAGTTCCGACCACAGTAACAGCATACCGAGTCTTCTTTGTGAAGCCCTAACTACCCTCTTTCTCCTCAAAGACTAAGCCACCTTTCCTTTGCGAGTTTACTGCTTGCACCCCATGAGGCCGCCCCTCAGACATGAAATGGGGCTTCAACAGTGGCAGACCTAAAGCAAAGGCGCCAGCCACAAGGACGTTTCAGTTTGACCGGCAGCTTTCTGTGGAAGCAGGTCGCTTATTCTGAAGTCCTGCTAGAGAGAAGGACGGTGCCGATACCTGACCGTTCCCACTCTGACTACATAAATGGGCATAGTCAGACATCGTCGCTTTTCCAGTATATCTAACCCAGCTGCTGTGCTATATCTTTGCGCAGTTGTCATCTATGGAGTCATCTCGGACTATGAGGGCGCTAGAACAAAAGACATGGCCATTGTTCCGACTTCTGGTCTCAAGCACCCAGGTAATCACTTAGTAGAAGGCCCTGGCCCCCATGCAGCCTTCGGCAGGTTCCTAACTACCAGTACTTGCCATCAGCAGCTACGTTATCGGCGGCTCGCTAGCCGGCTTTCGCCTTTGCAAGCTCCTCCTTCAGCGACGCATTCTCCGCCTCCAGCACCGTGATCCGCGCCTGCGCCTCCGCAAGCCTTGAGAGCCGCGAGAAATCTTAGCTTTGGGTCCCGGTCCCAGCTTCGCGGCTGAGGGCCCAGACTGTTTTTTCAGATCTTTCACAGACACCACCGCTGGGGCGCTGCTAGCATTGCCCTGAGTCCGCATGGTGCCCGGCCTGCAAGGAAGCGCAAGAGTTGCGAAAGAGCTGCAGGAGAGGCTTTAGGCCACAGAAGCACCGCACAGCCCCGCCTCATCGGGGTGAGCGTTGGAGGCTTGCACTCCTGGCCGGAAACCCACTCGTCGGCGTTCATGTTTGGAACGCCAGCAGGACAGTCGGGGAAGATATCCTGCCAAGGGCTTCCGACTGAAAACGAAAGACACACTTAAGATGCAGCTCTGTTCAACAAACGATCCTCCTGGAAGGCTTCACTCTTCCGCGGCACGCGGAAGGACACTGGCCTAGGTGGTGTTGTAGAAGTGAACACTCTGAGACTCTGCGTCATAAGCCTGCAGGAGAAGCTGCTCAACACTGCAGTACCGATCACCGATTTGGAGGAGGGCTTCAAAAGCCTTGTCCGAGCCTTAAAGCCCAGAACCTGCAGGCCCTCCCCAGCATTCAGCGGCCCAGCGTCTGGATGGAACTAGTTTCCAGCTTGAGGCCACGCATGACCTCGTGAACGCTGACCTTAGCATAGCAAAGTCAAGCCGAATTTGATGGGCTTCAACCTGCAATGTCTTGGGTGTGCTATTTAGGAGGTTCACAGCTGCAGTACTCGTTGAATGCGACTGGAGCTACCCAGAATGTCTCAAGCACTGCCTGCAACCCCGCAAGAACAAAGAAACAAAGAGCTTCCGTCACCGGCAGGAGGCATCCACGCACCGCTTTGGGAGGAAATCGAAGCCCTTCTGCGGAACAGTTGACTTGTATGCCTTGCCACGTACAGACCAAGCAGAAACGAGTGAAGCAAACTCCTCTGCGATGGTGCTAGCACCCAGGCACCCTAAACCCTAGCGGCCCTAGCTCGACTCGCATGAAGGCACCGAGCACAGGCCTCGAGGTAGTGGAGAAACGGGTCTGCGTTTGTCACCTGAGGAGACGCCCAGCCTCTTTTTGTTGCTGTCTCCTTCTATTGGGGCGGACCTGACCTTCTGAAGCCTCATCGTTCTGGTCAGGTCGCCATCTTGAAACCGCAGGTACCCGACCCGGCAAGTCGTAAGCCCTTCCCGCCTCAAAGAATCTAACGTTGCTGTCGCCTTTGCCGGCGATGTAAAGCATCTGCGTGCCTGGGTCGAAGTACGGGTACCTGAAGATCGAAACTGTGCAACGACGCATTCGGCAAAGGGAGCTTTGAAGGGTCTTCGGGGGCGGAGAAGCTGCCAACAAGCCCGCCGCAAGCCAGTCTACGAGCAAGTACCTTTAAATTACAAGGCCTGCTGTGTTCTCTCCAGGTTTCCGCAACCAGCCTGGAGGCCTTTCGGAAGCTACCCTACCACCATCTGTGGCCCCGAAAGATGCGCCTGGCTTCTTGCAGCTTTAGCTTAAACCATTCTAACGCCAACCCTACTTTATGCCAGAGCCAGCATAGTACTCTCTCCCCCTGTGTGCTTATATGGCTCTGCTACCATGAGTCCCGATACAGACCCGGCCCAATCGGTCCTTTGAAACCCCTATATTTGGCACCATTAATACGACTAACTAGAAGACAGCCGCAAATTGTCTCACAGCCGAGCATCAAGGCCCCAGTCCCCTGGTCGACGTTCAGGGAAGCCATTGCCGCCACGCTCTCCTGGCCATCTGCAGGCAGCTTTCCTGGGCAGCTCGTTAACACTGTAGGGATGTTTCGGCGCTCACATGCGGACAAGCCAGGCGGGTTTAGGGTTAAGGCGGTTAGGGCTTAGAATTGTAGTTTTGCTCGCTGCTTCGGGGGTACAACGCGGCTCTCATGATAGCTGAAACGCGGCCGGAGCCGCTCATGTCCCAGAGGTTGATTTGCCTCTCGGCCTGTGACGAGAAGCCCGTGGTGACGAGCATGTTGCAATCCTGCGAGAAAGTTTATCGGGGTCGTAGTCTTCCTACATCTTACTACCTCTTGAAGCTCGAGTCTTCACACTCGAGGATCCTCCGGATTCGAGCTGCCAAGCCACTCCACCTGCCCGGGTCAGGGGGCTTCGGGGCGGCTCTCGCAGAATCTGAACGCAGCGCACGGGGCGCGTACACGTGAAGGCAGACAATGAAGCATCGGCTGCCGATGCCTTCGTCGGCTTCGGTCCATCGCAGATTTTGCAAGCCGCCGTCATCCTTAATGTGCACGGGTGAATCGATGAGTGCACTTTTGGCACCTAGGTTTCATCCAGTCCTCGGAAATTGAGCAGGTTTACGCAAGCTGTCAGATGCCAAGATGAGGATCTGTTAAGTCGCTCTCGTCGCTGTTTGTAGAATCGCTACAAGTGACCATAGCTCTCCCCACGCGATGCTACAACGACCGAGTGTCTTGCTCTGCCTGTGGTCGACAATGTGGAGCTTCTTGTCCTATAATTGGCAGACGTTGGCGCATTCACGGGACCTGCCTTGCGCTAGCATGCGCGAGTAGATATACCTGCAGCAAAGTGCGGTATGCACCGTGTCCTTGCAGGTCACGGCTAGCAGGGAACCGGTGTAGTTCCATTTGATGTGCATGACCTGCTCCGGCACTGGGATGCTGAAGGATGCCTCCTGCTCCGTGAGATTCCAGACCTGAAGCCCGCGGCACTCCAAGCAATGGCATACGGGTAGACGCATACACCTGTTCCCAAGTCGGGCATTACCAAGCCGGGTGAAGATACCATGTGTTGACTCTACCAACCCTCCATTCGGCAAGCCCCATCCGGCAACCAGTACAACTCTTGAAGGCCCCAGAAGGATTTGGTGCGGCAGCCGCCGCTTTGCAGGTCAGGTCGAAGGCGGTGGAGGCCACGATATTCGATGCGCAGGGGTTGAAGGTGCTAAATGAGACCTCCCAAATATGTCTACACAGAAAACAGGAGTTTTAAGGGACAACAGCAACTCTGAGCCAGCACTGGCCGTGCAACAGACAGCACCCCTCAGACCTTCTTCCCATGACCCTCCAGCGTCAGCAGCGGTTCCTCCACACAATGCATCGAATCGAGAAAGGCTTCGGCTCTTCGGCTATGTCCTTCAGGTGCTGCTTGAGCCCATCGCTTGGGATCTGCCAGAGTTTCATGGTTAAGTCTTCGCTGGCACTTAGCAGAAGGTGGTCGTCGAAGGGGCTGAACTCGAAGTCCATGATGCCTGCTGCGGACAGAAAGGCGTACAGACACCCTTTATGGCTGAAAAGTTTCGCTCCTCCTGTGTGACCGGCCACCAACGGCGTCTCTCGCGGCAATCGCCCGAATTGGGTCGCAGGAATCACCTCAAGTGCTCACCGCTCCCACATTTCAAACCGCTGGTCAAAGCTGCTAGCAAGTCCCTGGTTTGCATGCTGCCGCAGGCTTGCATGTAAAAGATGCGCATGCAAGTAAGCTGTCAGGACCGGAGCCGGCAGGGTTCAAAAGGGAGCTGCGTGGTGCGGCTCAAAGGGAATAAAGGAACCCACCTTTCCAAGATTTTCCAATACAGTGCTGCCCCGTCGCTGCCAAAGTGCCACCGCCACCGGACTCCCATGGGAAGCACACGAACTTGGAATTGCCTTACACTCATCCCCGACGGCCCAACATGACCGGATGCAGCTTAAACATGCTTAAACTCAGTCAAAGGTGCAGAAACCTGCTCCCGAAATTCTCTGAAGTTTCAGTCCGCCCTTGCTTTTTCTCTCGGCTCTTTTCCCTGCCCCACATGAGTCTTGAATGCCAGACTGCCGCGAATGCCCGTGGTCTCCAAGGGCTTCGAAGACAGGCGGAGGTCCTGAAAGCTCTCCTTGGTGGCCTCGGCCCGCCGGAAGCAAATAATACAAGGCCCAACCTTCAATCCTGAATGATCGTCCGCAAGAACCCTAAAACATGAAAACTTTGCTGGAGAGGGTACTGCAGACCACGGACTACTCCCTTGTTGGCTCAAGTCTTCGAGGCAGCACAAGTATGATCTACTTGTGATCTAACTTCGTGCCGAGCAGCATTGCCAAAGACGTGCCTAAACTTCGAATCGCGCACCACCTTCATTCTGCGATTATACACCCAGGGGCCACGGACCAACTTGAGCCCAAAAAAGACACGCACCAATCGATCTCAACGCAGGGGATGCTCTCGGATAGACCTGTCTATCTGCGCATGGAGAATGAAAATGTCAGGTGCTCTGCTTTCCGTTTTAGCCGGCATCTGGCAGTTGCTGTCCTGCTCATGTTTGGAACGAAACTTGCCGTCCCACTGCAGCCCCTGCGCGCTTGTCGTGCTTCTGGGCATGGCATCGGGCAGCTCTCTATCTTAGGCCCTCTGTCCCTGCAAGCTTGCATCCTCTTGATGCTCTAATTTCAGGCTCCTGAGAGCTTCCGGGCTTCCGCACCCGGCATCAGCGAACCTCAGCGGCCGAGATCTTGCTTCACCGAATGAACAATTCAAAGACCTTGCTGGATAGAGCAGGCTCTGCGCTGCAGCTTAAGCAACGAATCGCTAACCGTGTGGTTCAGTCTCTGTGTCAAACTTCGTCGGTGCAAAACATCTGCAACTGTGCTTGGGGCTGACGGGCTCTCTGTCCCGATGGCAACTGTCGCGCGTTTGCCTCGGCAGCAATGTCCCACATGAAGGGGTACGTCGGCTGCTGCTGGTACCACATGCAAACCCCTTGTCTCCAACCCTTCGAAACAATCCTCTGAAACCAAAATCAACTGCCACTACAGCGGCGCGAGATCGCAGCTTCCGTTGTCTCAAGCAGCCAGTCAAGTTCTGCTTGTCGTTTCTTCAATGCTGCCTGCGCTGTGTTGAATTGGGTGGTGAGCTTTGCGTGGGTGACAATCATCAAGCATGGATGCTAGATACAGCGCGCATACAAACCTGTAGGCTGCATTACATGTTTCGCACGAATCGTTATCTTGGTTTCGTGCTTCCATGGTGTCAAAGCTGGCAGTGCCGTCGGAGCCCTCCATTCCAATACGATCGGATCCCATGAGCTCCACATACAAATCGTTCAACTTCCTTTGTTGTGAACTGAACATCTGCACGACATGCTCTCTGTCGGAAGGTTGTACTTCCCCATTGATCTCACAACAAAACAATTTTGAACTTCACTGCATCTGGGATCCTCTCCTGTGTGTGGGACATCCTTTGAAGATGGCGGGCTCGCAATTCGATGGATTGCCGATACCGCTTCTGGGCATCGAGGCTGCAGTCATCCGGCACAGAATCCGCGGGCGTCCCCGAATGCATCATCAATGATTGCTGAAGTGCCAAGAGTGGCTTTGCATATGCCATCCTGACGTCGTCAGCTGTGCCCGGAGCCCCGTCGCATGTCTTGCGCGAATGAACCGCCAGTCCATGCAGACAAGTCGCGGCCACAGAAGGGCGAACAGAGACGAACGCATCCACATCCTGACAATTTGCACAAGCACGTCTCTACGAGTTTTCGAACGATACCGGCATAGAATGACTTCACTCTGCCAGTGCAAATGTCCTCGGCACACGCATGGCGAAGGGTTCTTCTACAGAAAAGTTCGGTCCCAGGCTGCGGAATGACGAACGGGGACGGCCATGATTCACAACTGATGCCTTTCACTCATGCATCAATCGGTTCGTGTGCAAGGACTTCATGTCCGAAAATCCTTCAGTACTTGAACCCGTCAAACCTGCAACACAGGCGCCACCTTCTCGAATTCATGTTTTGCTTGTTTGTATCACAGTGTCTCAATAGTGGCACAAGCTGTTGTAAAAGACTCAGCGGATCCAAGGGTCGCCGACCGTGGCATGAGCAGGGGTTTCCTCTTGTTTCGTTTTGCTGACGCAGTTCTCTGTAGGCATTATTGAGACCACGGCTTCATGCGACATGTTTTGAGAACAAGGCCCAGAAGCCAAGGGGCTACGGCGCAAAAGCTCCAGTTCTAAAATTGGAGAGAAAGTGCGACACAAGGCTGCAGCCTGACAAAACCTGCGAGGTAGGTTTCGGCTATATATAGCGGTGCACATGAATGCGTAAGTGCACGGACATGTGGGCGGGCGAGTGGTGTCAGCAGAAGGCAAAAGTAAAGTGTGACGTGCAGAAGCAAAATCACGGCAAGCTGCTCTACACAGAAGGCTTTGCGAAGGAAGGGTGCGGCCTTGCTGTGTTGTTTTGCAGCCGTCCATGCACAGATGGGCACGCTCCATAAAGAGCCATGCGCGGTGCATCCCGCCACGGCCTGCTCCTTGCACGCACGCCTGGCACCAGGCGCTAACGGGAAGGTGCGTCAGCTTGTGGCGCTCCCTGTCTTCCTCGCTCGGATCCACAGGCACGCTCTCGGTCTGCGGCTCTGGGTCCGGCGGTGGCGGCCCGCTCTCCAAGCTTCCGCCCGGGTCGGCTGCCAGGGCTCGCCGCTCCTCCTCGGCGGCGGCCTCCGCTCGTGCGAACTCTTCGACGGCTTGGGCCTACGGGTCGTCAGGGTAGGTCTCTTCGTCCCCAACCGCCGCTACCCTCGCTCGCTTGCGCGGTTTTCCTGCGAAGGTGTAGGGCATGAGGAACTGACGCCCGCTACGAACGAAGTCCGCCCGAGAGCCGTCTTGCCACTCTATGTACGAGTCGGCGGCATCAAACACCACCCGCGCCCCTGCGTCCACAGCGCGGTTCACTGACAAAATGTCATCTGTGACCCCGCTCACCACCTCTAACGTTTTCCTTGCCTCCTGGCGGTGGTGCTTGCCCAGTTTAAGAACTGGCTCCACCGTGCCCTTCGTGTCCAGGGGCGTGTCGTCTACGGTGTAGAGGGTCTGTCGGGCCTCGGCGTTGACAGGGCTCTCAAAGGTTTCGGGCCGACACACCGATACCGTGGCACCGGTGTCCACAAGGAGGTACCCGTTTCGCCCGTCACGGCAAGGATCCGCATCTTCTGGTCGGTGATGTGCCTCACCCCCGGCTTTGCCGTGGTGGTGGTGCTCCCCGCGACCGACGCGGAGGGCCCCGCAGAAAGCTGAGAGGCCGTGTCGTCCGTGACTACGTGCAGCCCCCCTTTCTGCTGGGCTCCTTTCCCCTTGCCTTTGGCGTTGTACCAGCACTCCTT